TATGATGGGTGGATGGGATGAGTGCCAGAACTCAACCTGGAATCACCCCTGGGCTTCCACTTCCGCACACGCCTTGCGGGCGAGAGGACCCATCCTTGCCATCCTACCCACCACCCCTGACCCCTGGCCTGGCCCCATCGCCAGCGTCGACTGCGCGGGTCCTCCTCTCCCCCTTTCCCCTTGGACCTCGCTCGTCTGTTGTTTGTATAAAGTCCTTTTCATCCTGTTCCCCCATTACACTTTTCTTCCTCTCCTCTTCACCCACACACACTCGCTACAGCACCGACCTAGACTTTCAGTCACTTTCATTCGTTAATGCCAGCGCAAGCTACCTAATCTCTCCAACCCACCACCACTCAGCCATCACCTCGTTCTTCCCCGAGTCGATTTAATATCAGTCAAAATGAAGTACTCCGCTGCCACCGTTCTCGCTGCCGCCACCGCCGTCATGGCCGGCGCCTACGGCCACAACAACGTCACCTACACCACCGAGGTCGTTGAGGTTTACACCACCTACTGCCCTGAGCCCACCACCCTCACCCACGGCGACAAGACCTACACCATCACCTCGGCCACCACTCTGACCATCACGGACTGCCCTTGCACCATCTCCAAGCCCGTCCTGACCACCTCGGTCGTTGAGTGCCACAACTGCGCTCCCCCGCCCAAGCCCACCTACACTGCCCCCGGCGTTCCCCACGTCCCTGCCCCGGTCCCCGGCCACAACCAGACCACCACCAAGGTCGTTGTCCCCGCCCCCACCACCCAGGCCCCCGAGACCGTCCCCACCGCCGGTGCCGGCAAGGTCGCCGCCCTCTCTGGCGCTGGTCTGGCCGGTGTCCTCGGCCTCGCCGCTTTCGTCCTGTAAATTCGCTATCTTTGAGGTCAACACTCGGCGTTCGCGTCTCTGCCTCGGTCGCCCGCAACGGTCAAGGGGGCGGCGACGCAGCCACACGACAGTCAGCATGACGCGGACGGCGAGCGCTCTTAGTGTGAAGTTTGCGGGCGTTGCGGGGCTGTTCGGATATCCAGGGTCTTCGGGAGGTGTTGCCGGCGGTCGGGCGGTCTGGACATAATTGGGCTCGCCAGCCGGCAGTCGATATCAACAAATCCAGTACATTCTTGTACCTGCTTCGCGCGCACGTCTCGGGTGATTTCGTCACAAAGTGAGGAGGAGGAGGAAATGAGGAGGCTCGACGTCTCGCCCACGGAGGATTCTGTCTTGCTCAAGATACCTGTGTGTGCGGTCTATACCCATTTTTGCCCTGGGATTCCTGGGGAGAGGAATATTAATGTGTTCACGATGGAGCGCAGCGTTTCATGGCTCTGATCATACGAAAGAAAATTCGATCCCATATTTTGTTCCTCCCTCTACCCAGTGGCAAACTTGTGGTATCCGCTCCTCGTCGGATGTTTTATGGCTCTCTTGAACAAACTAGACCTGAGTTTCTGTAGTTCCCACAATGAAACGCAGAACGGAGAGACCACTTTTGGTCCGACAGCTACTTTGCCTTGCGCACTTTTCTGCGTGTATGTTGTGACTTGCTTCGCAACGAGGCTACTGAGTCGATTTCTCTGATCCAGGACGGGGAGATGGGGCGGGGAAGGGGCCACAGCCAACTGGGATCTCCAGAGACTACCTAGCTGACAACATCACTTCAGCCGTTCACGCCCCCCACACCAAGAGCCATTGCTGGGCTCGGGTTTGTGTGCCGCACAGGTGTGGATGCTTATCGGTCTTGCTGGGGGCCGCCAATCTCGCTTCTTTCTTACAGTTTGAGCTCATTTCCCTAGAGCGAGTGGACCCACCCACCGCCCGGTTCACGGCGCGGAACTGAGCAGGATTGAGCCTATGGGTCTTATTTTGATGATCGGGACGACATGACGCGACGCGACAACGACAGGGCAGGTGCCAGAGATAACGAACAGGAATGCCCTGGTCACGGACAGATGGTCACGGACAGAAAGGGCAGGCACCTCGCGCTCGTTGGCGCAAGGGTGGTGCTTTGGATGTACTATGTAGGAATTGACTGATGCCCAGTAAGGTACCACAGTACAGTACCTACCTTACCTAGGTAGGTAGGTAGGTGAGTAGATGAGATCGGGACGGGCCAGATGCGTCACGTGATGTGGTAGTGATTGATAGCCTTGCCTACATGTTCATCTTTGCTTTCGTTGTTGCTGACCGCCGGCGGCAAGGTTCAGTGCGATATGTTGAAGCGCGAGTGAATGGTTTGCTTCCATCTCGTGTTGGGCACGTCTATGAAATGTTTGTTTTGTTGCAGGCGAGTGCCTGTTTGCCAGGCGGTACTGGGAAGCCGCTACCCTGCCCTCTCGACTCGATATCGGGTCGTTCACGGAGCCGATGAGGCTCACGAATGCTCCTGCCTCCAAGAAATCTTCTGCTGTCATTCATCGAGGAGGGCATCTACAGAACCACCTGATGATGTGTAGGCAAGCCCAGAAAGGCCTGCTTTTGCACCTCATCGCCAAATACACACATACAGATCGAACTCAATCAGGTGCCTACGCGCAGACCCAATCTAAGCAGCAATGACATTACTTCGCCTTTCTCGCTAGATCACACCTGTTGAGTGGATAGAAATCCTGATTCATTGATATCCTGCTCTCATCGCTATGGCCAGCTGGGAGCACGAGGGTGGCAGGCAGCGTCGACAGCTCGGCTTGGCTCTTGCGGGGTTCTCGGCAACCTCTCATGACGCCCCCGGATCAGCGGACGGCAGTGCGGGGAAGCACAACCGGGGTACCTGCCTTGAGCACCCAGCACCTAGGCAAGTAGGTCGGCAGGCAGCTTGGGGAACTTGAGGCCCATTAGACGTCACATCCTCGCAGTGCTCGTCCTCTTTCCTGGACTACATCCCTCGGGCCAGCAAACCATTATGCCCCCATGGCCGAGGAAGAGCCCGCGAGCAGGCTTAAAGACGTTGCATGCCGCCTCTCAGGCCAGATTAGCAGCATTTGGTTACAACCCTCTTACCACCACAGCCATGCCACAATCCTCAAGACCTTCACACCCTCAAGACGATGTGCATCGTCAGTCCCTGGAGGACCCAACATCGTTTTGGGCCCGGCAGGCTGACCATCTCTATTGGCACAAGAAGCCTTCCTCGACACTGGTCCAGGCGAAGACGACCCTCGAGAAGAGCGGCGTCACTCATGCAACCTGGTCTTGGTTTCCAGATGGGCAGATCTCGACGTGCTACAATTGCGTTGACCGTCACGTCGTTGCCGGTCATGGTCACCATCCCGCCATATATTATGACAGTCCTGTGACCAAGACGAAACAGACTCTCAGTTATGCACAGCTCCTCGACGAGGTCGAGGTCCTTGCTGGCGCCTTGCGAGAGGAGGGTGTCAAGAAGGGCGATGTTGTACTCATCTACAGTGAGATTTTTCTTTCTTATCTCTTTCCATGTTCTCCATCGAGCCTTGTCCTGCTCACACAAGTCAGTGCCCATGATTCCTGCTGCCCTCATCGGCATTCTCGCTGTGAGCCGTCTCGGCGCTGTGCACGCCGTCGTTTTTGGTGGCTTCGCCCCTGCCGCCCTCGCCCAGCGGATCGAGGCATCCCGGCCCGTGGTCATACTGACGGCATCGTGCGGCATTGATGGCGCCAAGGCACCGGCCGCCTACCAGCCCCTCGTCGAAGAAGCCCTTCGTCTATCTTCACACAAACCCCTTCGTGTCGTGGTTTGGCAACGCGATGAAGTCCGGTGGCATCCCATCAGCCGCAATATTGGCGAGCGAAACTGGCAGAGCATCGTCAAGAGCTGCCGTGCTCGCAATATCAGAGCCGCCTGCGTGCCCGTTGCCTCGTCTGACCCTGTATACATCATCCATACATCTGGGACTACGGGTACTCCCAAGGGCGTAAGGAGAGACGCAGCCGGTCATGCGGTCGGGCTCCAACTCTCAATCAAGTATCTATTCGATATCCATGGACCTGGTGATGTTATCTTCACGGCGTCTGATATCGGATGGGTTGGTTACCTCCTCTCCATTATCGACACAGTCTTGCTGATGACATTCAGGTTGTTGGACATAGTTTCATCGCCTATGCCCCTCTCCTTGCCGGTGCTGCGACAGTGCTCTACGAGGGCAAACCAGTCGGCACGCCTGACGCATCTGCCTTTTGGCGAGTTGTCGAAGAATACCGTGTCACTTCCATGTTCACCGCCCCAACGGCTCTACGTGCCATAAAGCGGGACGACCCCGATAACGCGCGCCTCAAAGAAATTGGTAACCGCGGGGGTCTCCGAACACTCCGTGCCCTTTTCCTCGCCGGTGAACGATCTGAGCCCGCCATCATCTCAGCCTACCAGGAGTTGCTCGACGAGTACGCTGCTCCCCCGGACGAGGGCGGATCCCATGTCATCGACAATTGGTGGTCCACCGAGTCAGGAAGTCCAATAACGGGCCGAGCTCTCGTACCTCACGTTGCTACTGATGTGAAAAGAACTGAGCGTCACCCACCCATCGGCATCAAGCCCGGTAGTGCAGGCAAGGCCATGCCAGGCTTTGACGTGCGAATCGTAGACGACGAGGGTAACGAGGTCCCGCGAGGCACTATGGGCAACATTGTGTTAGGGCTGCCCTTGGCTCCAACGGCATTCCGAACACTGTGGGAAGATGAGGAACGATTTTACAAAGGTTATCTAAAGCGGTTCGAGGGAAAATGGGTCGACACTGGCGATGCTGGCTTCATTGATGAAGAGGGCTACGTCAGCGTCATGAGTCGCAACGACGACGTGCTTAACGTGTCAGCGCATCGTCTATCTAGCGGTATGTCCCTCTCCCCATGCCACGACCCTCAACGCTCCGACTGACGTAATCTTAGGTTCCCTCGAACAAGCCATTACCTCTCATCCTTTGGTCGCTGAGGCCTGCGTCGTGGGCGTCCCAGACGCCCTCAAGGGCCAGCTGCCGTTTGCTTTCGTCACCCTCTCTGTTGCCTCGCATCCCACCACGGCAGTGCCGGATCCTGCGCTAGAGAAGGAGATCCAAGAGCTTGTCCGCGCACAAGTGGGAGCCATTGCGACGCTGGGGGGCGTGGTCCAGGGTAAAGGGATGATCCCCAAGACTAGAAGTGGCAAGACCTTGAGGCGAGTGCTGCGTGAGCTGGTGGAGAATGCATCCAAGGGAGATTTTGAGAAGGAGGTCAGCGTTCCCAGTACGGTAGAGGATGCGGCTGTTGTTGATGTTGCAAGGAAGAAAATCGGCGAATACTGGAGAACCAAGAGAAGTGAAGGCAAGGCAAAGCTCTGATGGATTGCGCATACTGGGTCTGTTGACATTGGCGTTCTTTCATAATTGGATCTTCAAGCAATCTGGCATTCTTTGGCCTAGGTATTCTGGTAAAAATTGCCATTCTGCCTCCCCTTCTAGTTTTTTCAGCATTTGGCTTCCCGTGTATTTACCTGCAATCTGAACCACCAGTATGCGTGCTGCCTTGACAGTATCACTGGCGGTTGATACTTTTCTGTTACCTGTCAAGCAGCATATCGAGGCTTGTTGGTTACCTTTTAATTATGCAGTACGTAACGAAGGTCATCTTACACAGCTCTTGGGATTGTACGCAGATTTCGATATGAATTCACTTGGTGGCATAATGCGGAACCAGGCTCAGTTGATTATGGTATGCCTTGACGATATTCACGGAGGTGCCTCTATCAGTTGGCCATCTTACACCTCTGAATTTGAGTTTCAATAAACAGTAAACATGTCGAAGATGCTATTCGCCACTGGATCATCACTTCCCAGAACACAACGACGACGCTTGACCGCGTCATCCCCTCCCCCCCCGGAAAACCACCAACGGACACCGGCATGCGTTTTCCCAGGCACGTTCCCCAAACCCAGAGCTACAGCATGACCCGAAGCAGTGCGTCCCTCCCCCCTCCTCCATGCCGTAGCCATACCGCCCTGGCCCAACCGCATCAATGCCGACGGGGACCTCGTATAAGCCTATCCTGCTTCTCGCCATCAAGATCGCCCGATGTGAATCAGGACGGCGCGGCCAATGAGACAACAATCGTCGATCGCCTAGGCCCTCGTGGCCTGACACGGCAGCACGCCCTCCATACCGTACGACGTCCGCTTCTTCCTTGGGGAAGGAACCCCTCCCCCCCTTCCCTCTTCTCGTTGCCAGCCATGTCGTACGGCAGCGACCTAGGGTCTCGAGCACGGAATGAGGAGGGGAGGAAACGAGGACGAGAGACGCGGTCGTTTCACGGCATGTTCGTAGCACAGAGTTCTGCCCATCTGCTCTGCAGCACGGTGCTGGCGGGTCGGTCTCGTGGTATTCGACCGACGAGGGCGAGCCGAAGGGGGTTTACATCATCTTTGTGCCAGTCAAAGCGTAGTCCATCTCTGGCGAGCCGCGTCCTTGTTGCGAGGAGCAGCCACGAAGGACTCTGGTATGAGTTTTCGACTTTCTCTTATGGTCTCGAAATTGCAGCGATGCGATGGGGGAGTTTGGTCGAGTCCTGTAGTCGGGGCGAGTTGTTGCGACAAACGTGACGGCGGGTTGCAAAGTTGCTTGCTTGTCCGTCCGTCCGCGGATGTCGTGTGACGCTGCTACGCGCTGCGTAGTATCACGGAGGTACAGACGGGGGTCTCCCTAGGAGGACATGCATGGGCTCATGTGTGTGTGTAGTGGGAAGCACAAGAAGCATTGTTATGTTTGTTGAACGTCATGTCGGAATCGCCATGGTTACTCTTCACCAGTGGGAGCGTGGAAGTTGGCAGTATCGAGGATTCCTCAACTCCTCAGATGGAAGGCCAGATAGAACAGCGGATCGTCTCTTATGCTTGAAGGACCACTGTAGGCTACGAGTCTGGTTAATGGGTTTCAAAAAAGAAAATGGGATATTTGTCAATCCAACGACAATGCTTTGCCATGTTCACACTCAAAGCCATGTACCTTAGGAAAGGAAGACAAGAAGAGCAGAGGGATGTGACGAGGAGGATCCGATGGCTAGTGGTCAAGTCAATCGCACGCAGTATGGCCCGGTAAATCAGAGCTCCAGATATCGGCCACTGATCTGTCCGAGATTCCTTGGTAGCATCAAGCAAGCCCAGGGATGAAGTATGTTCACAAACACATCAAAAGCCCGCTGAATAACAATGTCATGCACCAAGGTCAGACCATGAAGCTAGCGGCACAAAACATGCCCGCGTACACTTCAAGATGACGAGTGTCATATTGTGAGCAAAAAAGCAAGGCACACTGGGAGCTGCCTCGGTGAACACCCATGAATCACCCAATACATTTGAATGCGTCACTGGAAGCTTGCCGATCGAGTACCATAGACCGATGAAAAGCAGTACAGCCACCCTGCGCCCCGTCCAAAAGCACAACCGTCCCCCATGTACCCGGGTATCTAAAGAGGCCGCAAAGGCAAAGTGCGAAAATAAAAACCAACGCCGCCGCCGTCCCCCCAACCCCCCCTTGCCAGTCCAAGGCGCCGCACCTCACGAGCTGGCCAGCGCCATCATGACGTCTTGAACGCCGAAGCAACAGACCCCGTCGTGTACGTGCCCAGCACGCTCCGCTGTCCTTCCCTCGCCACCTTTAAGGCTGCAAACCGCGCCTCAGATAGCCTTTTACCGGCCTTGAGGCTCTCAAGAGCCCTGCAGCAGTCAGCACTCGACAAATCCAAACTGTCCACCCAAGGAAAGGAGACGGAGCCTACCACTCTGCGGTGACGTACTTGACCGCGCAGCCGGCCGTTTTCTTGATCTCCCTTTCGAGCTTCATCCCCGCCAGGCCGCCCCCGGACCCTCGGCCGCCACCGACAGGTTGCCCGACAATGACGTGCGTGACCTGCCTCCTGCCGAGGTGCAGCGAGACGCGCGCGCCGTTCTCCGCCAACAGACGCTTGAACTTGTGGTCCGAGACGAGGGGCGCCGTGCTCCCATTGACGTAGACGACGACGCCATCAAAGAGGCCCCTGCCTCGACCCCCAGCCAGCTCGACATTGTCGTCGGCGGCAGCGGCGGCGGCAGTGGCCGGGGGCAGCGTCTCCCGCATGCGTCCCGGCGCGAGCAGCATGTCGTGGACGCTACACTTGGCCCTCTCCCTGACGGCCTTGGGCACGACGGCGCCGACGGCGGGGTCAAAGTCCTCGCTGCCGGCGCCGTGCGTGTCGCTCTCGCGGGCGCCGCCCGTGTGCCCGGCGCGAAACTGGCCCATGAGCTTGCGGTTGCGGCTATCGCGCCAGCCGAGGCCGGGCCTCGTGTCGGGGCGCTGGTGGCCGGTGCTGCTCGAGTTCCAAGGGTAGAAGACTTTGCCGAGCCTGGGCTGGGCCGAGGGAGGGAGAGGGTTGTTGTTTGGCGGCTGAGGCATGGTGCTGATTTCTGATTCTTTCTTGTTTTCTCTCTTTCTTTCATTATTCGTTCCTTGCCAGCCGTGTCGGCAGAGAAGACTGACAGTAAAAGATAAAAGGGAGGGACTTTTTCGCATCAGCATGGGCTATCATGGGCTTGGGAATTGTCGTTGGCATTGACAAAGCATGTCTGAACGCGCTGTGCGTCTGTGGCGCGTCCTGTGGCTCAGGAAATCAGAGACAGCTCACGAGCAAGGTGATGGGCCGGTCGAACACGTCTGTAGCGCGAAGTCAGCTGACATGCCTTCACCTCAGCGCATCGTCCAGTCAATCAACACCACATCACGTGATACAACCCATGTGGTGTCAGCCTCGAGGGGCATCAACAACGCACGGCGACATGCTCCTACGGATGTCCAACAGGTCGGGCTACAGCACCTTGGGGCCGCATCGCCAGAGCGTCTGCACACATACCATGTACAAGTAAATGCGCTGTGTGCATGGTCAGCGCCTACCCACCCAAGCCAATCTCGATTTGCAGGCGGGGACAGCACCCGCCCACCCAGGAGCCGCGGCACCGCTGCCACGCCGAAGCCCTCGACTGTACATGTGTACATGTACTATGTATGGCGCTGGAGGTGGTGAGTAGGCGGTGCTGGCGATGCGATGCGATGCAATGTGCTGCAATGCAATGCAAGGCCATGCAATGCAATGCAGGCCGCCGCCGCCGCCAACGAGTTACCGCCACCTGGATCGAACCGGACCCCTTGCTTCTATTTGGACGAACAGCGCATCCGTTGCCCTTCTCTCCCTCTCTGCTTGTCACCTGCACACCCAACACACACATGGCGCGATCGCTCCATTCTCTTTGCCTGTCCCTACCTCTCACCCTGTTGCTGTCGTCCTTCAACATCGCTTCAGGCATCGTCTTCTCTGCTTCACTCATGTCTGTCAAAACACCTGCCCCTGCCATGCTATGCTGCCCATGCTCATTCATACATGTGTGTGTATGTAAAAAGAGCACAAGTGTGGCTCAGGGCCGTCTATACCACGCTGTCCCAGGTGTTCATGCACGAGATGCCCATGGGCTGTGATGCCACGCCAACATTTCGCTCCCGCATCCCTCCCCCCCGCAGCACAGCACAATCGCGGGCACGGCTCCCGGCGGCGTCATTTGGCTGCGCACCGTCTTCTTCCCCATGCTACTCCCTCAGTGCTACATGTACAGCATCAGCTCCGCACCCCCCCAGCCAGTGAATACAGCATGAGAATACAGTACCTAAGTAAGTAGGTCCCCTCCCCTCCGAGAGCAGCAGTCATATTCCCTGCATAACGCACCATGTACGCTCCAGATGAGATTCGACAGCATGCCACTGCATTACAATGCCCATTGTTGGCTGCGTCCTTGTAGCCACGTTTGAACTGGAACGCGAGTCCCGAGGGAGAACCGCTGTGACGGCTGCCACTCTACCGGCATGACCGCAGCCCTTTCTCTCTCGCTCTCTCTCTGTCTCTCCGTCTTTATCCATACAGCTCCATCATGCGATGCATGCGAGTTCTTTCCTGAGCTGTCGGCCCCTCCCCCTCGCGCTCTCTTTGTTTTTTGTGTACCACATGTGCACAACGTGGCTGACCTCTTGACGACGTGCCTTCCCCATATCGACCTGCCTGTCCGCGCCCAGGGAGGGGTGTGCAACCTTTTCGTAGACGCATCGCCAACGGCGCGACACGAAGCAGCGCCGAGAAGAGGGGTTGTCTGTCGGTCCCGGTTCCGTCCCCCGATCATCCCCTCCCACCCCCCCCCCCCGTTGTCCATCTCATCCGACAGGACTTCGTCATCCCGCCCCAGGCGCCCTTTCAGGGCGCTAGTTTAATCGGCTCGAGGACGCATCTGACAAGAAGGCTGGCAGCTCGCCCGATGGCCTTTGTTGTGCCAAG